TTTTTTTCTACAAACAAGTTTTTTCGTATATCATGGGAGCGCAGAAATACATACATACATACATATGTTTTTTTTTCAACGGAGGGGAATCTTCCAAAGATGTTATGCACGATTCGCATTCCTGTCCGCTAAGGGTACACCTCATTCGGGACCACGCCCAGACTATGTTATCACATAATTCCGGACTTGCGAGACAGCGCGCCTACGTACTAAACCCTTAACTCCGACGTCTGAAGCTTGTGTTTCGCCTTGCGGGACCGCCGTTAGGTATTACGTCGCATGGCGTAGCTTTGCCAATTGGCTCTTCACACACGCCTTTCTGGCCTATCTCTCGTTCAGTCCTCTATTATCGCTACTGCGCTGCCACTCTTTCCTTCTAAGTTCCTGAAGAACTATAGCGGACCACGCTTTGACTATACTCCACACCATTCTAGATTGCATCATGTGGTGCACAATGTATTCTGGCGCCACTCGATCGTAGGTGTGTGTGTGTGTAACTCCCTCACATATAGCTTGTAATTGGCTTTGCGGTACTGCCGTTAGGAGTTTCGTCCCAAAGCTCAGCTTGCCGATTGGCCCTTCTTCACATCATTGGGCTTGTTCTTCGGTCATTCTCTTTTCGCTACTGCGCTGTCTTTCTTTCGCTCTTAGCTCCTGGAGGGCTATTGCGGACCACGCCTTAATTCTACTCCACACCGCTTTTGAGTTTATCATGTGCCCCACGATATTGTCAGGCGCCATGCTCTCCTTTATCAGCTGCTCTATGTCTGTTCGATCTGCCTCGTATTTTCGGCAGAGGAAGAATACGTGTAGTACGTTTTCGTCGCCGCTACCGCGGAATGAGCACTCTGTCCCGTCATCATGCCCATATTTGAACAGGTATTCTCGAAAGCAGCGGTGCCCCGTCAGAAACTGTGTCATTTAGAAGTCGGTCTCTCCGTGTTTCCTCTCCACCCACGCTTTTATGTTACCTATCAGCCTGTGCGTCCACCTCCCTTTTGTCGTCACATTCCAGTGTCTTTGCCATTCTTTTAGACTTGCCTCCCTCTCTTGTTTCCGCTCTTCGATTGTCAGGCACCTGCCTAAGTTTCGGGACTTATCAAAGACTCTTTTTAGCTCCATGGCCATTATTTCTGGGGGCATGATGCCTGCTAATACTCCGACCGCCTCGTGTGACACAGTACGGAAGGCGCTAGTCACCCTCATGCTATTTAGTCGGTACACCGACTTTGCCGCCTTCGCGTAAGTCTTGCGCTGCAACGCGGGCCCCCAGATGGGTGCTGCATACATTAGTATGGACTGGCTCACTTTTTCTAGAAGCGCTCGTCTGTTTTGGCTCGGTCCGCCGATGTTAGCCATTAGTCTTGTTAGAGCCGTGGTCATTCTTGCCGCTTTCTCACAGGCTTTACCATGTGCTCCTTGTAGCTTAATCTCGAGTCTATCATGACACCCAGGTATGTCCGCGTTGATGTGTTTTGATGCTATGTCCATCGATGTTGAGCGTAGCGCTCTCCATCTTTTTTCGACCACCGCTTCGGTTTTTTGCCCTGCGAGTTGGAGATTCGTTGCAGCGAGCCAGTTCTTTATTTGTTGCACCGTCCTGTTGCAGAGGTTCTCAGTTTGATCGAGGTCTTTAGCCACTACTGTTATTGCTATATCATCGGCGTATCCGATAATTTGTACCTCCCTTGGCAGCGGAATACACAGAATTCCATCATTGAGGACAATCCAAAGTAGTGGCGCAAGTACGGGGCCTTGTGGTACTCCACCCGTCACCACGTACTTCCTGGGGCCTTCGTCGGTGTCATACAGCAGAAGCCTGTCAGATAGATAGTTGTATACCATCCTTAGCAAGTAGAACGGCGTGTTCTTTCTTTCCAGAGCATTTAGTATGTGAGGCCAGGTGGACGAATTGAAGGCGTGTTTTACGTCGAATGTTACCACCGCGCAGTATTCCTTCGTGCCATATAGCCATCTTGTTCCTTCTATTGCCTTGCCTGCGACATCGGTGAGCTTTTTAATTGCATCAATGGTAGACCTCTGTCTTCGGAAACCATACTGGTTATCGGCGAGACCCGGCAGTTACTCCTCTAGGTGCGGCTCCAACCGTACACAAATTAATCGCTCCAGTATCTTACCAAGCGTATCCAGCATACAAAGAGGTCTGTACATACATATGTATGTTTGTACATACATATGTGCATAGAAAAAATATTTTTGGATATTCATACAAAAAATTTTCATTTATTTCAATTCAATTTATTTTCACATTGTTTGAATATTGTAATGTCGATACAAATCTCAGAACAGCTATTCACTCAAATTCAAAAAAATTTTAAGCCAAAATCATTCATTCGTTTTGTATATGAATAATTCATAAGCCGTTTTGAATGCATTCATGTAGCCCTCTAGTTGGTATTTCTACTAGTATATAATTTACTGGAGATATTTTAATACAAATAAAAACACCTGATGTGCCAAAAATTATTATTGCCAACAACGTTTTAAACATTGTCAAGGGTTAAAACACGTTTCCAGTGGGTTTCTGGGGTTGCTGATTACGAATCTGATGTCAGATTTTTAAAATTCAA